TTCAAGAACCACTTAAACACAATTCCATATAGGTAGTTAATTTCTTTCTTTTTTTTTCAAATTAATTATCTCTATATGTATATGAAAAAAAAATCTTTAGAGCTGAAGCCTCCCCTCCCCCCCAAAAAATTAAATCCTGGATCCGCTAGTGTGTAGTGTTACTCAAATGCGACTCAAAAGACGAGTCTTGGTCTTGCAGTTAACTACGAAGTATGATTATCAAGTTCTTAAAACTTGTCTCCGGTACCGGTTTTTAGGATTTCTGTACTCCAATCAAACGCCAACACAAAGCCAAAAAAAAAAAACAAAGAAAAAAAAATCTTTAGGGCTGAAGCTCCCCTCCCACAAAATTAAATCCTGGATCCGCTAGTGTGTAGTGTTACTCAAATGCGACTCAAAAGATGACTCTTGGTCTTGCAGTTACCTATCAGCTTATTACTATTTATTAAACATGTTAATTTAGATCTTAGAAAACACTACATAGTACATATATTTAGATTTTTCATTTTCATAAACATAATAAAGCCCAACCAAATTAATAAAATTAATCTGACAATACATTAAAGGTATTGTCTACAATGATAGTGAGAGATCCCCATCTTGCAATGTAACAGTTGTAGAGTAAAGACAATCTATACAATATCACTAATTATTTAAATTAAAATCTGTATCTACTGATACATATGACTTCTATCGATTTTAATTTTTTTTTTTTCAATTGTAAATATGTTCATAAAAAATAAAATATTTAACATAAAGTAAACCTAACTAAACTCCGAATGAAAAATTGGAAGATTTAAATACAAAAGTATATTGGTTCTACCAATTTTTTCCATATATTAACTAAAATTGTCTAGTATCAGTAACTATTTTGCCTTGAATTTTATTCACAAAATCAATATTTTTAAATTTATTCATTTTATTTACCTCAATGTTCCATATGTTTCCGATTTGGCCAAATCCAGATACCTATCCTTCCATAATAAACTTCATAACCATCCGAATCCTCTTGTTTCTAACCTTGCTTCCTCTTCGATTCCTGATAACCCTCCGAGGGGTCTGAAAAGAAGATGGCCTCGTGATCACCTCATGTAGACAAATTATTAGAGTGCTACCAATGGGTAGTTTCTCAACAAGCGTGTTTCATGTGATAATATTCCTATGTACACATTTACTTGATGTATTCATACTAATACAGTTGTAAATATCATAATGAAAGGTTAAACAAAAAAAAATATATATTTTATCTTATTTAGTCTTACAACAATTATTAGTGTTGCACCAATTAGGCGGTCTTGGTCTTGGTCTTGCACTTTGCAAAATCAAGACCAATTTTGGCCAACACTAAATATATGTGGCGATTTATTTTCTTATTACTTTTTTCTTTTTAATAACAAAATTTAAATATTCAAAAATAAATATGATTTTCATAAAAAAAATACCAAGTTTGGTTCTTAAAACGTTATGGTCTGTTCTCCAATCCCGGTTTTTAGGACTTCTACAGACTAATCAAACGCCAACACAAAGCCACTGTTCTACTTAGCAGTGCCAAGTACATCTGCCCAGACTGTGACCCACGCCTCAACTACAGTGGCTTAATAATATTATTATATTTAATATTATATTATTATATTTAATATTATTAAGCCACTGTAGCCTCAACGTGCTCGGCCATCTTGTTCTCTCCTACTAGGTACACAGTTTTGTTGTTATAAACACAGTTAGGAAATAACGGTTAGGAAGATTCAATGAATTTATCTTGAGCTCTTTCTTTTTAATGGAAAACTTCGACTCTCACTTGTTAATCTGTAATTTTTATACGTGTTAACCTCCAGAACGACTCTTTGTTAATATAGAGACATTAAGCAGAAAATTATAGTAGGAAAGGTAGCGTGACGGGTAAAATTATGTTACATGGAAAAAAAAAAACGCTGTGAAATAACACATAGTAGAATAATACATTTCGACATTATAAAAAGCGTAGTGAATTTGCTACCTCCTGATATTTAAGGGTGCACCATATCTTAAAAAATGGTTCCTAAAATCTGAAGTATATTTCTTCCGAGATACCTTTTATTTAGTCCGCAATAGAAAAAAAAATCTTAAAAAATATTTTGTGGTTTCAATTCTCTACTACTAGTAGTCCGTGGTACATACTCCTTTTTATCGAATTATTAACATCCACCTGAAACTTCGTAAATAGTTTCATCCCATTGTAACCTACAACTATTTTATTTACGAAAAATGACAGATATCTGGATTGGGTCAAATCTGATATATAAGGAACATTAAGGTCATTATGAATGATTTTATTTGTAACAAAGTAAGGAGCATTGAGGATTTTACGAAGGATTTTGGATTGTAAGGATTCGATACGAGAGGAATTTGAAGGTTTGGTGGAGCCCCATAGCTCAACTCCGTAAGTCCAAATAGGCCTTATTATAGTCATGTAAATGAGTCTTTTGTGATTAATTGGAAGGTTAGGCGTTTGTATAGTTAGTGTTGAAGTAGTTTCAATCTGGTATGAGGATTCCAAGTTAGACGTTTGTCCAGATGGAGTCCTAGGTAACACAACTATTTTATTTGCGAAATTGGAATTGGGGCGTTTTTAATCTGGAGGGAGGCAAACTTTGTTTATTTAATTAGGTACTAAAAACTCGTAAATACGCATTTGCTTTCTTCTTAGATCTTAAGATAAATTGATCACAAAATCTATTAAAAGAGTGGGGTACAAAAATATTTTTCCTATATAACCTTATGTTTTTAGAAATTTTGGAGTGTATGTCACGCCAAACGGCTCAATATTTTTGAAGGCCACCTATTTTCTCGACTTTCTGTGCAAATTATCTTACGATCCAAGTAGAAAGCAAATGTGTATTTATGAGTTTTTATTACGTAATTAAATGGACAAAGTTTGTCCCCTCCCAGATTGAAAACGTCCCAATTGATGGATAAACCCGTTGATTGATGGATAGGTAATAATTTAATTTAAAATAAATTAAATTAAATCGCGTTAGACCCAATATGTCTCTGCACACTAACGGATCCAGGAATTAATTTTGGGGTGATTTCAGCCCGAAAGATGTTTTTTTTTGTAGGTATATATTACGATAATTACTTCGGAGAAAGAAAAAAACTAAGTAACTATATGAAATGGTGTTCAAGTGATTCTTCAAGTCCTATTAAATGTAATTAAACGAGCAATAATACTTTAAGACATAATTTTTTAATATTTTTTACCATAAAACAAGGTTACATTTTACCACTTTGGGGGTACTTCAGCCCCTCCCCCCCCCGTAGATCCGCCTTTGCTGTACTGTTTTAGTTAGAAGTATTTTGTGTGACCTAACACTTTTTTGCCATCAGGAAAAGCTTGAAACAACTTAATATCTTCTTCAGATAGTAATTTTTTATATAGACATATATTATATTGCATATAGGCATATGGGATACAGTCCAGTTTTAACATTTTAGGGGGAGAGGGCTTCAGCCCGAAAGCCACCCTGTAAATACGCTTGTGCCTCTGCATGTACATAATATATGTAAATTGTGATGAAAAATTCTTTTGAATGCCCCAAGGCTTTGCAATAATTCACCATCTACAGCTTGAATGCTATTTTCGAATCGCAAATTATACGAATGAGGCGTCGAACTATTATGAGTCTGGGCTTTGTGTCTTTCAGCATTCCTTCTTTAAAAAAGAGCATCAAGAGAAACGGAGAAAGTTCAAATTTTGAGGGTATTCCCTCAACTTCCTATCTAACTAAAAAAAAAAAAAAAAATGAAAAGTATTATTATTATTTTTTTTTATGGATGGGAAGATTAACACTAATCATACCAAGACTTAATATATACCTATTTCTACCATAGCGGGTCAAATGACCCGACTTTATGTTTCATGCTTGAATGTTTGAAATATGGATGTTAGGAAGGAAATAAAAATATTTTATTTTATTTTGTTATTTTAAATTTGCCACTGCGTTGGAACGCATCAAGCAAATGTGTTGGCGTTAATTATAAAATAATTTAGCTATTTTCGTTGAACTACTTTACGCAACAGTCTTTGGAAGAATGTGCAACTTACTGACTACAAATATGGCTAGATAATCTCATAAAAAAAAAAAAAAATATAAATTAAATTTATTATGATTAAACAAAATAGTATGTTGAGCATTTCTATTACAAAAGCAAAAAATAAAAACTTTTAATTCATAGTTCATCGCAGTGGTGCTCTTCCAGGTGTGCCACCTACTTGCATTTGTTGCCAAACAGATCCATCATTCGCAACATTTTCTTCATTTATTTCTACTTCACTTTCTTCCAAACTTGTGAGTAATCTTATTCTTTTTCGGCCACTACATACATTCACAATATTTTCCTCTTCATCGTCAGTATCTGTAGAATCAAACTCATTTTTATTTGCAACCGATATATCTTCATTTTCAGAAAATTCATCTTCACTAATTTCTGAAAACTCTTCGCCAATATTATTTATATCTTCTAAGAACTTGTACTGTCTTGTTTGCTTCGACATTTTTCTGGGTAAAAAATGATCTGTATTACTAGAGCTATCAAAATAAAATATAAGCTAGGTACTTACCAAGACTTTCAATTTTTGCCACTTTTTCTTACACTAAAAAGCTATTTTCAATATAAAATTTGATATTTTCTTGAAATTATTCTGAGCTATTTTCGTTGAACTACTTTACGCAACAGTCTTTGGAAGAATGTGCAACTTACTGACTACAAATATGACTAGATAATCTCATAAAACAAAAAAATTCTCTCCGGGTCAAATGACCTGTTGTGGTAGATATCGGTATACAACAAGGATTACTCAGAATAAACAAAACAAAATAAAACAAAAATATTTTTATAACTGTACATTAAATACTTAGAAAAAGTCATGAAGTCAAATGTGCAAATGCAATAAAATTATACGTGAATTTTCAATGGAAAAGTTCAAAATGGGTCATTTGACCCGTTATGGTATGTTTAGTGTTAATGAATAATTAATAAACATTACAAATTTTATTTATTACATTATAATTTTGTACATCAAATATTTAATATAATATTCAGTTTGTAAATATTAACATGTCAATATGAGTTACTCAGTTCATCTATGATTGATTTTATGTTCATTGCCACTACTAATTTCTGCGTCAAGTTTATTGCGGTAGAATTGGCTGTGGTATCGATGTAGGCGATTAGTTCCTTGCACTTGGTATCGAAGTCTTCAATCTTATCGTTTAGCTCGGTTGAGTTACCTTTTGTCGAAAAAATGAGAAAATTTAGGGTTATTAGTAATATATATCTATGTGTTTTATTAATACATATTATTAATTTTATACTCACACAAACACACACACACACATATATATATATATATATTAGTAGTAGTATTCATAGTCCGTGGTTTCAGAGCCCTTTTTATTAAATTATTAACATCCGGCTGAAACTTCGTAAATAGCTTCATCTCATCGTAACCTACAAATATTTTATTTATGAAAATTCTGGCAATTGGCAATCTAGGGGTCGGCAAACTTTGTCTATTTAATAAGGTACTAAAAACTCGTAAATACCCATTTGCTTTCCGCTTTAATCGTAAGATAACTTGAGCACTAAATCGGGGAAAAAAAAGTGGCCTTCAAAAATATTTAGCCATTTGGCCTAAATAACTTCGTTATTTTGACAATTTGGGGATGTAGGTCACGCCCAACGGCTCTATATTTTTTATGGCCACCTTTTTTCTCGACTTTTTGCTCAAGTTATCTTACGATCAAAGTGGAAAGCAAATGGGTATTTAATTGTTTTAAGTAACTAATTAAATAGATAAAGTTTGCCGACCTACATTTTGAAAACGCCCCAATGCCGAGAATTTTCGTAAATAAAATAGTTGTAGGTTACGATGAGATGAAGCTATTTATGAAGTTTCAGCCGGATTTTAATATTAACATAAAACGGAGTCTGTACCACGGACTATTATCTAAACATAATCAGTGGAACTCAAGAACCACAAACAAGTTCATATAAAAAAGCCCGAAGTTTAAGTATCCCATTTTAAAAATAAGTGATATTTTGGTTGAAAAGGAAGCAATAACTAAAAAATTTTTAATTTAGGTACTTACCAACTGCTTCGTATAAATCTAAATAAAAATTTCTTCACATGTTTTTTCCTTGATGCAGAATTTTTCTTTCTAACATATTTTATAATTTTGTAAACAATTTTAAGGAGGCTTATAATCAGCCAAACTGTGCGTAGTTCTGTTTTTCATAAGATCGTTTTTCATAAAAAAATACATGATGGGAAATTCTGTCTACTCAAAATACCAATGTTTTGCTAATTGGGTATAAACTATTTTTCGTTCTTTATTCACAAATTAATAACATTTACAATATATACAATTGTAGTTGTGTATAAATTACTATAGTAAACTTTGTTCAGACTGATCGTCATTTGTGCTATATTCTAGAATATAATAGAAAAACTTAATTTCTAGTTTTTTATTTTTACGACTAGTTAAAAAATATCTATATTGACTTCTGGAAAGTGGTTTCTGAATTTTCCATGGTATTTAAATTTTAAGATATTTTATTTAAAATGTTTAAAACAGTCGCTATTATTTTGTTTTTTGGCGCTGTATTTTTCCCTTTCCGGCTCTAATTCTGCCTCACGTCCAAATACAATTATGAATTATAGCTCATTAAAAAAAAAATACTGAAAATTTCTGTTGCTTACAGTATGTAGGTTCGAATTTTAGTTTTTGAGATATTTGGATTAGTTCGAAATAAAACTCGCTATCATTTCGTTTTTGACACTATCTTTTTCTTTATTGCTTCTCTAACACGGCGTCGCGTCAATATATAATTTTGAATAATAGCTCATTAAAAAAAATAATGAGATGCTGAAGATTTCCCTTACTTGCAATATGAAATGAAATAAAAATGAAATTAAAAAATAATTTTATTCTGGGACTACTGTCCCCTAAGAATAATAACAGAGTTACAAAAATCTATGTATCTTAGTCTGACATAATAAAAATACCAACTAATTTACTGTTAATTGTTATTTCAATTGTGCAATGGATTGAAGGTAAACATTGTATAGATGCAAGTAATTTTACATGTTAGGGGAAGTTTGAATGTGGAGTAGGTGTTGGAACAGGAGTTGTTTGAAGGAATGGGAGGAGTGCATGAACCTTCATCATCCACTCCTCCCAACATATTTTATTGATATCTTTTCTCAAAAATAGTGCAAACAAAAGTATAATTTAAAAATACGTAGATTATGTACAGTTAAACATCCTGCAGTCTTTTCAATGCTTCCATTTGTCTTTTAAATTGAAATTTATCAATTAAAAAATTTATAACCCGTTCGGAATGTGCCCCCCTCCAAAATTCAAAACACCGTCAAAATATGCCCCCCTCAAAAGTTTTGATGGAACTTGCGATATATAACCCTCTTCTGGGCACCCCTGTATACCTTCATAAGAATTTTTACTTTCACTTACCTATATATGTAATATATAGTAAGGGAAAGTATTGTGATCATGAAAATTTTCAAATCTGAGTTTTCAACGGAAATACACGTTTAGGGTTCCCTGAGTCCAAATAACCAAGTCCCGCCACATGGATTGTGTGTCTATATGTTTGAGTGTGTGTATGGTAGCAGTCGAGTTCAAAATCGAAAAGTCGTACGAAACTGATATTACGTGTTTAAGATAGGTATATGCCTTAGATGTGACAGAACTTTTCCTTAAAATCGACTAATTGCACGTTCCACTTTATATAGACCCTGAAACACATTTTTACAATTTTCTCAGAAATGGCACTGGCGCTTTTGATTAAACTCGGTGTATTGTTGTCTAATTAAGTGGTATTCAATATCAATCAGGTCTTATCCCCATTGATGTCACTTTACAGGGCTTGAATGTCCAATGTTCATATACGGCTTTCTCTAAAGTACGATTGATATGAGAAGGAGTTAGTTGAGGGTGCGGTCAAATAAATAAAAAAAATTAAAATATATAAATAATTTTAATTTTTGCCGACGTTTCGACCCACTTTGCAGGTCGTCTTCAGGGCGTAATTTGTGGTACTGCGGGAGGCAGTTGAAACACTGGCCAGATTACGATTGATACGATTGATATGGTTTATTTTGAAATAAATAATCATCTCACATTATTAAAAGTTACGAAAAAAGTGCTAAATATAACTTTTGATAGAATTTGATTATTGAATAAAGGAGAAAAATATAAAAATGCTTATCCAGTTCGAAATGAATCTCTGGAAATACTAGTCAGAAGGTATACGTATAATATATCGTTGGAAAGCGGAGAATTTTATAAAAAAGAAATATCTAATATAGAAAGTTGTAGAAGGTAACGCAGAGTGGCAAAAAATTGTAGATAATAATTTTGAAAACTAATATTATTTAAAGTTAATTACACGTTTTCAAGGAAATTAAATGAAATTTACTTACTGAATGTGAGCTTTTAAATTATTTTTAAATATTTGAAAAAGTATTTAAAATCCACCTAATCAAGGCAATGCCGTTTTTAAAAATACTATTTCATAGTATTTGTATGAAAGAAGAAGTGAAACATCAAATCATTTTATGGATGTATAAAAAATATTTTTATAACTTTCAGTACATTTACTGTAGTATAATAATTCTTGATCTGATATTATTTTACATAATTAGGTATCAACGTCTTATTTCGAAAAATCGTCATATAACATTTTAGAAAATTAAATTAGTGAATAATTTGATGAATTTTCACTTTGTAAAATCCCAACCGTATCCACTTCTAATTAATGTGACAACTTTTGACCTATCTATGACAGACAATGCAAATCTCTAAATTATATTTTAGTGAACTTTGCAATGGAAAATAATAGTTTAATAACTAACAGTCGTACAATCCATAATCAACGGATCATACAATCCATAATCAACGGATCGTACAATCCATAATCAATGGAGCATACAACCCATAATCAACCGGTGATATAGTAGATAGGACTTTTGTTATTTTAATGGTATTTATGATTTGCTAGCTGTAATATTTTAGCTTTAGCTCTGTTAAAGATGCAATTCAAAAATTTTATAATAGCCCAACATGGCCAGAAAATAATTTCTATTCTAATAAGTTGAGCGGTAAGTGAAAGTTGTGTGTTGCGCGCACCAGTTTTTTTTTTTTTTTGGGGGGGGGGGGGGTTGACATTAAACAAAAAGTATATGTAAGTCCGGTCAATGACCTTAATTCCTTACGATGAATGATAATTGAATTTTGTGAAACAATAACACATATCCAGTGCCGTTCTGCCACTGCTGCTGTTGAAGAATGATGCCGAGCCTGTCTTAATGCTCAAGGAAATCAATTCGGACAACATTTAACATGAATGTTAATGTTTACATTTAACTAATAAAGTAGTAATAAATAGGTTCTATTTATTTCATATAATGTAAAGAATTCATAACAATGAAAATCTTTAGGTGTGAATATTTCCTAAACAAACCGTTTGCGGATATACCTCCAGAGAAAATTTTATTGTTGTTTTGAGGCCCTCAGTTCATTTTTGCAGTTTGGCCACTTAATCCTGAAACACCCTGTATTTTCTTAATCGATTACAGTGGTTCAATATTGAAAATAATACACTAAAATAGTTATACGGATATACACATGATGTACCTTCACTTTACTAAGATTATAATTTTATTTTATAAACGGTCCCTTTGCGATGTGAGCAATAATATTATTGTAATTACCTCGGTTTCCCACCAGATCATTGTAGGCCCTATTGAAGATATTCAATAGTCTTTTCGAGAAACGTAGTATTTGACATATTGCTGTACCAATTCCGTCTTTCAATGAAAGCATATCAGTAATTAGATATGAATCTTCAGCTGTTATTTTAAAATCTTCAGCTGTTCCTTTAAAATCTGCAGCTATTCTTTTAAAATCTTCAGCTGGTACTTCAAAATCTTCATCTGAAAGGCTTTCATCTGGAAAAACTATATAAGGAGGAAGTGTAGCGCTCTTTACAAAATCTGAAAGAAAAAAAGGTAATTTAAATTATTTACATTATATTTCAGCAATCTTATTTTTTTAAATTTAATAAAGTAAGTAGATGTTTTTTATTTCTTCAGATTATTTTTATTTTCGCGATATTGGCTATTTATTGGCTTTCCTTTTAGCTCAAACTTTCTTAATATTTTTTCACTCGTTTCCTTTTTCCGTTCTTTTTTACATTTCTTCCTTCCTATCTCCTATTTTATATTCCAAGATGCTTCATCTTATTCAATGCTCCTCTGAATTTATCTCTATCTTGTTATTCCTCATCTTTTATCCAATTTTTTACCATTTCTTTCTTTATTTGTTCAGGATATCCTTTGATGTTCTTCAGTCCCATTACATTCTGAAATATCTGTTTGTTTATCCTGCCTTTACTCATTCCCTTCATGTGGCCAAAGCATTTCTATTTTCTTTTCCCCACTGATGTTTCTAATTTATATTTCCATTCTACAAATTAGAAACTTTGTACCTCTCTATTCCAAAATTATCATTTCCGGTGACTTAAACACTAATCTCCTTTCCGACTCCAGCAACAGATTATATCTCGAAAACCTTTTTTTCTCTCTTCACCTATTCATCGTTCCTTTTTCTGCCACTCATCACACCGCCAGGTCCGACACTTGGTTAAACCTGTACATTATTGACTCCGCTCAGAGCCTCGTTTCCTCTTCCCAATTACCAGTCTCCTTCCTATCGTCGCATGATCTGATCCAAATAATATACAATACCCAAACTCCTCCATTCCTACCTAGAACCATAAAATTCCGTAACCTTGATAGCCTAACTCGAGAAAAAATCTTACCCTGCCTGGAAACCATATATTGGAGTAGATTATATTCCTGTTCCACAATTGATGCCATGGTGGATATCCCCACTTCCAATCTTCTTAATATCCTTGAAGCCCAGGCCCCTTTCATCACCGTCTCGCTCCCTGGATATGTGAGCAAATTAAGGATCTTCAGAAGAGGCGTGATGCTGCCCGTTGACGCTTTAGACGTACTAGGCTGGCTGACGACTATCAAGCGTTTAGGATGCTCCCGATCCCAAATCCCATTGGCTACTCCTTCGTAAACTCTCCCTCTGTGAATCTTCCAGATCCTCTCCCGCAGCAGTATTTCCAATTTCACCAGATGATTTAAACTCATATTTTATAACTGCTTCCTCTTCCACTTTTACTTTTCATGCATAATTCTATTGGTCCGGATGGCATTCCGGCCAAATTAATCAAATCTTCCCGAAATCCTTCCTGTTCTCCTATTTGTATATAATTTCTCCCTTCAAAACTCAGTATTTCCTACCTCATGGAAGAAAGCCACCGTTTGTCCTTTAAATAAAAATCCTAACCCTTCTTCTCCGTCCGATTTCAATCCTTTCTAACCTTTCAAAACCCCTTGAAAGAATAGTGCATTCCCAAGTTTCATATTTCCTTGAACATTCCAATGAACTTGACCCTTTCCAATATGGTTTTAGACCAGGTTACTCCACACAATCCGCCATAATTAAAATCATTAGTGATATTCAGTCCGCTATAGATGAGAAAAAACTAACTGTCCTTGTACTCCTTGACTTTTCCAAAGCCTTTGATACCATTTACCATACCATCCTCTTCTCCAAATTAAAATCATTATCCTTTTCCAACCGCGCTATTCTTTGGTTTCAGTCTTTTCTCTCTCAACGTTACCAAGCTGTCGCCATCCTTAATCAACCCTTGTCTTCCTGTCTTACTCTATCCTCAGGAGTGGCCCTGGGCTCTAGTATATCTCCTCTTCTTTTTAGTTCCTATATCAACGACCTCCATAAATCAATCCTCCACTTTTCCCGTCACCTCTATACCGATGATTCTCAAATTTACCTTTCCTTCCCTCCCTCAGAGTTGTATGATGCGTTTCCCAAAATCCAAGAAGATCTAGATCGGATCAGCGACTGGGCATACATCAATGGATTAAGATTAAACGCAGGCCATTGTCATTGGTTCCAAACCCCTCCTCAAATCTAATACCAACTTTCCTATTCTGTATCTAAATAAGCATCCCATCACCCTTCAGCTCCTCAGTCAAAAACCTAGGCATTTTCATTGACCAAACTCTCTCCCATATTGCCCAGATTTCTCGGCGGTCAATTTGTACCTCTAAACTATTCCATCGCTTCCGCCATCTCCTTCCTATACCCACACGTAGACTCCTAGTATCCTCCCTCATCTTCTGTATCTAAATAACCATCCCATCATCTTCAGCTCCTCAGTCAAAAATCTAGGCATTTTCATTGACCAAACCCTCTCCCATATTGCCCAGATTTCTCGGCGGTCAATTTGTTCCCTTAAACTATTCCATCGCTTCCGCCATCTTCTTCCTATACCCACACGTAGACTCCTAGTATCCTCCCTCATCTTGATTACAGCTGTGTGGTGTACGGCGGCCTCTCGGTGGAACTTGGAGACAGACTAAAAAGAATTATGAATAGAATAGTAAGATTTGTCGAAGGAACCCCGAGACGTTCCCATGTTTCTCACTACTATGCCCAGTTAGGGTGGCTCTTCCCCTCCTTTAGAAGACAATACTTCCTTGGCACATTCCTTTATCAAATTATCAACAACCATCGCCCGTCCTATGTATACAATCTCCTCCAATTCAAATCATCTATCCTCTCCTTCTCCACAAGATCTCGGCCTTCTCACCTGTACACCCCTTTCCATAGATCTGCTTCATTTCAACATTCCTTTATTGTTCGCTCCTCCACCTTTTGGAATTCCATACCACTTAAAATCCGCCATGCACCGTCCTTATCCACATCCAAAATCCTCTTATTACAATTTCTCTTCACAACCCAATCAGACGCTGGTTAATTATGTATCATGCAACTAGGATAACTCTTTTTTTTAAATTTTTATTTCTTTTCATACACTACTACTTTATTTTATTATTTGTAAACTGGAAAGATTCAGATATATATATATATATTAACAATATTAAACCTCATTAGTGCTACACTAACAAATTTTCACAACATAAAAGAAACAAAAAAAAATCCTCTTAAAATTAGTAGTCATAAAGTCTGTCAATGAAAATTCTGACAACCTTTTGCACCCCTTATGGAGATATGAAATATTTATTTAGGGAAAATGATACTTTCGAGATTTCGTAAGTATTATTGTTAAAAATATAATAACTCGTACAATTATTTTGTTTTATTAAATATACACACGTTGCTTATTTATTACCAATTGTATTGTTAGTGATTGAAACTGGATTATCAATTTAATTTGAGAATTTCTCATCATACCAATAACAAAGACAATGGAGTTGAGAAACATGGAAAATTTAATATTTTCTTGTAATTTTTACTTTTTCTTTGATAATATTTTTAAGATTTGTTAGCAAAGAAAAAGAAAGCATTATCTTAGATAATATGGAAAATTAAATTATTTGACGAATCATAAACCTATTTCTTAAAGAATTAGTTGTTAAGTTTCATTTCATGAGATGTAAGTATTTTGAATTTGTAGTTTGTTTTTTGATAAGATGCAAAATACTTTTGGTATTTTGTATTTGAAATACATTTCCGAAAAACAATTTTAAACGTCTGCCAAGTAAGTTCAGTATAGCTGCCTCACCGTTTTTACTCGCTAAAAATATTTATATTACACGGTCTAAAATGAAGATGCAATAATTTGTAATTAAAATACGCTGTATTTTAAAAACACAAAATACTTAGTGGTTTAAATACTGTATTCTAAAATAATAATCAAAATACTTTTTGCCAGAGACCGGTGCGAAAATATTAAAAAAATTCAAGATATTTAATTGCTTGATATGTTATAAAGAACTTACCTGTTATGCACAAGTGAAAAAAAGCAATGAGAATCAACATGATTCCTGATCTAGTTTCAGCTTGAAAGTAAATTAAAGAATGGTTTATAAGCTAACATAACAGTGGCTCTGTAATATTATTTGTTCTAGAAGCGATAACTTATTTAATGAAATTTATAAATAACTCCAAGATTGAAAATGAAGAGGATCACGTATTCTTATTCTTCTGGTATACAATTGAAAAGGGTTGTCGTTCATTGCTTCATCTAATGAGTTACAGGGAATCCATTAAAGATTTTATGAATTCTTTTTCTCTTCTATTACTGTAAAATAAATCAGATAATGGAAGCATGAAATTGTTTTTGATTGTTATTCAATTCTTCAAATTCTCGGGAAAGTAGGAAACAAATATAATTTGTATTTTTACACGTTACCTAGGACTCCATCTAGACAAACGTCTAACTTGGAATCCTCATACCAGACTGAAACGACAAGAAACAGCTCGACGTTTCCGACTACTTCAACACTTACTAGACAAACGGTCTAACCTTCCAATTAACTATAAAAGAATAATTTACATGACTATAATAAGGCCTATTTGGACTTACGGAGTTGAGCTATGGGGCTCCACCAAACCTTCAAATTCCTCTCGCATCCAATCCTTACAATCCAAAATCCTTCGTAAAATCCTCAATGCTCCTTATTTTGTTACAAATAAAATCATCCATAATGACCTTAATGTTCCTTATGTATCAGATTTGACCCAATCCAGATATCTGTCCTTCCATAATAAACTTCATAACCATCCCAACCCTCTTGTTTCTAACCTTGCTTCCTATTCAATTCCTGATAATCCTCCGAGGCGTCTGAAAAGAAGATGGCCGCGTGATCTCCTAATATAGACATATTATTAGAGTGCTACCAATGGGTAGTTTCTCAACATGTGTTTCATGTCATTATATCCATGTGCGAATTTACCAGATGTATTTTTTGTATACAGTTGTAAATATTATATAAATAAAAAAAAAAAAAATAAAAAGTATTTTTACATTTTAATTGTAAATATAATTACTTTAAAAGTTTTTATATAATTTTCGTATTTAATTAATATTGTTTGCTTCGTTTCACTACCGAAGGTAGGGACGCATTGTATTCGTGCGAGAGGTTGCTCAAAATCGAAAATTTCCACTCCCGTTTCACGTTTCAGACATCAAGGATCAAATTTGGTTCCGTGTCTGTCTGTAGTCAAACCGATGTGATGGCATATCATCTACTATTGTTCATCCGATTTTCATGAATTTTTCAGGAATTGTGCGGCTTTATGTCTAGATGGTCCCATATCAATTTTATCAAATTCTAACCAGCACTTCCGCTTACGCACTCGCAAGCGTATTTTTTTATATATACCAATATTTCAGAAACAGCTCGTTCGATTTGGCTAAAAGTTGGACTAAAGGTATATATTTGTTAAAAAATAATGTAGTGTCAATTTTAATGAAATCTGTCCTATACTTTCTCTTATATATGAGCAAACGTGTTTTCCTTGATACGTCTATATCTCTAGAATCGCCCGTTCGATTTGGCTCAAATTTGGAGGGAAGTTAGAGATTGGTAAACAGATAAATATGTATGAATTTTTATCAAATTCAAACTCCAAAAAAAAAACTTCCTCTTTCAGATCAGGAAATTTATTGACACGCCTATAGTTTGAAAATTGCGCGTTCGATTTGATCCAAACTTGGAGGAAATTTGGAGAATAGATAATTTCTATTACCTGGTATCAATTTAATTGGTTTCCATTAAATAATTTAAGTTAATATGAGTAATTGTAGCCCAGTAAATTTAGGATTTGATATTAAGAAAATTCATAATTTACCGTCAATGTGAGAATTAGTTCCTTATCGAATGTAGAACAAACCATGAAAAGTTCCCTAAAATCCCATGTCCGCTTCCATCCAAAACGGAAAGTCAAAGATTGCAACCTCGCACTTCCTATGTTATTTTATGTTTTTCCTCATATCTCCGTCAAAAACTATTGTTCTTGAATTCCAAAAGTACTAATATAATCGGCAAGGATGCTTGTTTTAGATTCCATTGAAGTTCATCTGATAAAAAAATGATAAACGAGCTGTAAGTTGACCTATTTGGCGTCAATAACCGGTGATATAATTCTTTATTGAGTATTACAACAATCTGTCTTTTGGACATTGGTTATAGTGAGGTAGGATGACATTCACACTATATGTACAAAAAAAATAAAATAAATAGAAACAAAACAATAATCAAAAGTATATACAATAGATAATAAAATAAAATAACCTAAAAAATAAGAAAATTAAAACTAAGCAAAAAAAACAAAAAAAAAACAGATGCATACCTATATACAATCAGGCGAGGGAACTCTGTGCTACTCTCCCAACCCTGTCACTGGTACTAAAGCCAGCCGAGGGCGTCAATAAAGCGAAATTTTCTTGATTTTAGTTCTGCCACCCCTCCTAACTTTGTAACTACTGACAAATGAAAAATAACGGTTTTCATATTTTTTGTATTCCTTAGTAAGAGGAATATTCAAAAAATTGTTTTTTTAATATTTGCTGAAAAATGGTGGAGATATGTTATTTTTAATAAAAAAAAGACGCGATCTCAAAGCAGAATTCCATCGTGGGCTATTCGAACTGGATAGCTAGTTACATACTAGGAGCTACGGTTTCATTTATCTGAATGACTTATAATTAGTAATAATTTTTAATTGTAGATAAACCTTATCTGAGTTCACAATTTTGGTCTGTCCCCCAAGGCCACCAATAAACATTTGATTCAAACCTTCTACAATAACAAAAAATTATTTTATTTGATGATATTAGATTGTTATACTACACTTGGTTGCTCAGGTTGATTTCTAATGACAGTCTCTTTATAGATTATTTTATTTTGCACCTCAAAATTGCAGAAGCTTTTGGTGTAGTTGCACCATCTTCATCTCTATAATTACAAAACAACATTGAATAATAACATTGACAATGTATTAATATTTCATAATATTGCTGATAAACAAGCAGCTTTAGGCACTCCGCGCCCCTGGGCAATAACGCCATCACCTCCCCCCACCTAAAAAAATCAAATTTATTTCTTGAGCTATTTTAAATTATGGAATATTTGAATTTTATCGTATTCAACATTTCTCTAATACAGTTGCTTTATTGTTGGCTAAAATTAATTATTTTAATAAGTTTTGTAGCTTTCTTTTTATTTCATTCATGAGGCGAGTGCCCCTGAAGATTGGTCGGCGCCCCGGGACAATTGCTCCGGTTGCTCCTCCCTAAGGCTGTCACTGTAAACAAGATGGGCATAGAAAAAAATCTGTTTTTTCACTTGTTGGAGAGAATGAATTGAGTTCAAACCTTTATTATGCCGGTGTACTTTGACTAAATGCAAATGTCTTTATTACCATTTCAAAGATTAGTTTTCCTTCTTTCTTATTATAACAATTTGATTTGAAGCATTGATATATCTTAAATCAATATTAAAAATATTAATAAATAAAGTAAAAAACATAACCAAGAAAATATTTTCTAATGTCTTAATTCAAATTGATTTAGTAGACCCCAATTTACCCCATTTGGCACATTTTATCACCTTTTAGATATTATAAAAAATTTTAGTTGAATAGTTGTGTTCCCAAAGAATTTTGGAACATTTTCATGATTGAAAAAATGCCAATCAAATGGTAGGTGAAATTTTTGGTGTTAAATGATATTACTTTTTTTATTTACTTGAATACTTGTATTTGAGATTGTTTTTTTTTTTGGAAAGCATAAAAAATCTGAATTTGCGGGATACTTAAAAAGTATTTTTGACCTACTTCAACTGAAGCTACTACATGTTTTTTAAAAAAAATAATCTTAACCTCATCGAAATTTCTGAAGCATAATTATTTTTTATTCTAAAAAAATCTGAATATGTTTTTTGTTGGTGTATAATAATAAAAAATTATATTTGAAATTAAATATTTTTGAAAGTAAGAAAACAACACCCTTTTTTTTCTACAGCCCATTTATTTTATCTTCTGTCCTCAGAAGCTTTCAGTGATCTGCACCATATTCATCTATAATTTTTTTTTTAGAAATATATATATATATGTAATACATTGCAATTTCTAATTGTCATATAGAATTCTGCCTTATTTCAACATACCTTTCTAAACTCATTCCATCCATTTTGTATTTTGTTCTTTATATACTTTTTATTTGTTTTTTAGTTTTTTGTTAGATAATTAGTAATTGTAATGTATTAGATATATATGCATTTCTTAAAAAAATTGTTTAGATGAATATGCAGAGCACCATAAGCTCCTGAGAACAAAAGATAAAATAAATGAGACTGTAGAAAAAAAAAGGTGTTGTTTTTTACTTTCAATATAATTACACAGTCTATCTATTAAACTTATATTAATATTTTTTTTACCTCATAGAGGGCACATAATGAGAAATGTGAAATCACTTACAGAAATTTGGTTGAAATCTGTGACCCATTTTCATTACTTCACATTTTGAAAAAAGTATTTTAAAAGATAAGCAGTTAATAATAGGTAAATAAAAAGGTATGGGAATACTAAAAATGTTTATAAATAATATCGTCAGTACAATAATATTGTAAAAAATCACGAAGTACACTTTTGATGAAGCTAATTGTTTAATCACGGTAATTTGGTGTGAGCCAAATATTACCCATTGATCTGTAATTTAATTATATTGAGCTGGCGATTGTGAAAATTTCTGTGGACTGTATGAGGTTGGACCTCTGAAATTTGATACATGATTAAATCAAACAAAAAATTGAGAACCTGATTATATTGTATATAATTGAATAAAACAAAACAAATAAAATTTGTGCCTTTGTACAATTTTGTGGTTCTTGACCTATGAAGTATATATTACTGATTGTGAAATTACAAATTTTGAGTGAAATACAATGTCATTGTAATGTTGGAGTCATTTTGCTTGATTGAAGTGGAATGGTCAATTTGGACTCACTTGCTGTCTGAAATTGAGCTTCATGATTTTGGCCACCTCTTCTTCCTCCCCATACTTCCTCCAACCAGGCTGTTCTCTTGAAGTTTAGCTACTCATTTTTTTCTTCTTTT